CGACGAGTCAGCTTGACTTCCCTAATATTGATATATATAAATAATATATTATATTAATTATATAACTTATATTATATAAATATATAATATCTATATTAGCATATCACTAATATAGTATATTAATATATTATTATTATTATTATTTTATTATATATTATAATTTATAAAATTTAATTTTTAAAAATATCATAAATTGTTTATACATAATTATTTTAAATTATTTTATTTTTCGAACAATAATGATTCGAACACGAACGAATGCATCACTGTTCCTGTTTGACTCGTTTAACTAACCGAACAAAAAATATTTGTTCACGTTCGTCTCGTTTACTTATTGAACATAAACTCATTGAAGAACTGAACACGAACTGTTCGCGAACAATGAGCTTTTTTGACAGTCATAGCGGTACATGGGTAATTTGGTAATTATATATTACACTCAAGGTTTCCTTTTCTGCTCTTTCTAGGGTTATAAATAGGTATGTTTGTAACCATATGTTATTTTATTATGTATCATGTACTCTTTTTAGGTATCTTTTCATCATAAATAGGACTGTTTGTAACCCTAAACCCTAAACTAATACAAATGTATGGATTTGATAAACATGGTTGGTCGGCCCAATTAAAACAAATAATTAGGCCTCTTTTCGCTTTATCATCTCTGCTGAAAGTAGGAGTGTGCTCCATTGAAACCCATTATTATTTAAAATCAAGTGAAATTAATTAATTAATTACGCCGAAATAAATCAAATAATTTAAAAATTCTAACTACATAATCATCATTTCTATTGAATACATAGTGAAAAAGGAGGAAACTTGCAAGGCATGCAAGAAAAACAAACATTACCTTTCACATTCCTTAGTCTAATTAAAATACGGGGGATTTACATTCATAGCACCCAATTTCCATGTGTTTACATTTCTAACACCTAAATTTTATTTCTTAATTTCTGCCATTCAAATATTTCGTCACGTAAAAATATCGATATTTTAACTTCTAATAAATTAAATAAAACTTTCTAGTATAGATAAAAGGGGAAATATATGAAATTTGAAGTTTAGGCGCTTGTGTATACACAAATGCCAGAATGAAGAGAAAGTCGATTCGTAAGGACCCGAGCCCGCCTGCTGAAGTGTCGAAGCACGTGAACTAAGCCCATCCGCTCAAGTGGCTGAACTTGGTTCGTCGGTGAGGGTGGTTGGAGAGAAGCACCATCAACAAAACAAACTCTCATGAGGAACCACGATGATTAATGGAGACACTCATTAAGGATGTCGTCGGTCAATCAAAAATAAAAGTCTTTTATCAGCGTCAACGATGATGGCCGCACCGACCATATCTGACAACTTTCATTAAGGGACCTTGGGGGATTTGGGTTAAGGTGTCATACTCGTATTACTATCATCTTCTCTATCACAACAGGTACTTTCCAAATTACATGCGTGCATGAGCAACACAGGATCCTACATCCCAAAAAGATTCAACAGCTAGACATGCAAGTACATAAGAATTGAATGGTGCGTTTGTAAATCTTCCAACAAATAATGATCAATCAAGGATTCAACAGCTACAGCCTTGATCAACATTTTGTACATTACCAACCTACATGAATATAAGTATTTATTGTTTCCGTCGCTTGTGTTGATTCTTCCTAAGAAAATATAAAAAGCGAGGCATTTACATTGGACACAAGTCTTATGTTCAGACATATTCCTGAACTTTTCATATTTATTTTCATAGCACTCAAATTTTTTTCTTTACATAACCATTATCATTTTTTTCAAAGGTATAATATACTTTTTCATGTATGGTTGAAAACAAAATGGCAAAACACTTGTTATAGGCAATGGGCTAAATGGACACGACCTTTAACACCAAAATAGATTACTGGGCCAGGCCATCAAATATGCTCAATATTTATAAGTAATCTACAACATTTATTAGGGCCTTGTATCTCATTATTTATCTCATTATTGAGGATTCAATTGACAATAATATATATATATATATATA